GGCCAATGGCGGGCCGGGCCAAAACGAGCCGGGCTGGCCCGTTTTGCCATCCCTAAGCGTGGATCAACCCCTACCGCTGAACCACACGCTTGGGATTAATAATAAGTCACTCTTTACATTAAAACTTAATGTTAACAAAAGCCAAATTAATGATAAAATTAAAATTATGTACTTTAAAATTAATAAAATTAAATGTCTTGCATTTAAAATAAAAGATTACAATTAAATCTATGCATATAAGGTAACAAGATATAAAATGCTTAAAAAAAATCCTATAACAGACAAGCGTTCAACCACAAGCTCCCCGAAAAAAGATAAAATAATGCCACCTACATGTCCAAAATGTTGTACATCAAAGACAAACCATTATTGTTGTGATAAATGGAGTTGAGAATCAAGCTAGGAATATGTCTCCTAGTCTACATGCATTTTATTGAAACTAGTCATAATAAGGGGAAAATGTCAATCGGATACATCCCACATTTTTATGCATGACTAATAGGAAAATATAAATAAAGAAAAAAAAATTGAGTTGGCTATTACAATTTTAGTAGTTGAGTAAAATATATTTTGAGCTAAATATATTTTATGCAAAAAATTCAATAATAAGTAAATTTTATTTTAACAATTCAGTAATGACATTTGATTTCAAGGGTTAAAATTTTTTTTTTCTTCAAATTATGAAGACTAAAAATATTAATTTTAAATTAAAGAAATTAAACATAAATTTATTTTATATTCAAAGATTAAAAATATATTTAATGCAGAATACTCTAGGTTTAAATTTCATTGTTGTTATTATACACAAAAAGAAATATATAAAAAGAACTAAAAATTGAAAATGAAAATGGATTCATGAGAAATAAAAGGAAGAAAAAGAAGGACTGTAATAATTACTCACAATAAAGCTCCATTATCATTAATAAATATTTTCTGCAACAACTACTCTACGTGGTGGTGCTGTTGTAGCATTTATAAACCATAAACCCACTAAAATCTCCTCAGCAAGTCCAAACACAACAGTAACATACATTATATGAAAAAAAAATGTCCTGAGCTCAAGTGGTTATTATAGCAACCTAGAAAAGTTTGGTAACAGCAGTTGTTATTGATGTTGTAGTATTGGATTAATTCTTGGGAGAAGAAGAAAAGGGGCATTTGAAGGGTGATAAGAGAGTGAGTGCAAAATAGGCAAAGAAGGAAAAATAAGAAAGCAAAAGAGAAACCAAGTTTGTTCTGCAGAACTTGTGCACATGGTCACATATTGGTTGCCAACCCACATGCTCCTCTCCAAACTGTCCCACGTACCCTATTGCAGTTGCTGCTGCACATCCAGCTATCAACAGCACCGTCATCGCCTGCAATTTGCATTTGCATTTGCAAAGTCAATTCATCACAACTTTTGCTATAAATATGCTTGCCTCACTAGTTTTAATTTGTTGGTCCAAACTCAAATAATGTCTAAGCCCTTTTACATTACTACCAATCAAACACAACCGAGTTGTTATTCCAATGATCTCGAATTGCGGTATTTCGAATGGAAAAAAAATGTTATTAGAATGAGAGAAATTGAACTCTTTTTTATTATGACTTACACACATCGAAAACTAACAAGACTTAATAAGAACACTAATGATTTAATAGTCCGAATGGAATTAGACTTAATCTTATTAAGCAAGTTCGAGTTATGTCTATAGTGAAAACATGATTAAAAATAGAGACTTCATTAAAAATGATCTATTTGATTCTTGAACGAAAATTAACTATCAGTAAATACTTCATATTAATAATAAACATACTTATCCGAAAAAAATTAAAATACAGGAATGAAATCTCTTGATGATTATGTGTTATTATGAATTTGATTCACATACAATAAGATAAACATGTTCTGAATTTTCTATACAGGGTTAGTTACCTAACGGAGAAGGATGATTTGTTGGCGATTTCACAATAGAATAGTAACATGATTAAAATAATGTACATAAAGTGGGACACCTTCACGAGATGGTTTTAATTTTCAAACATTAAAATAGAGCTACACAAAATTGTTTGGAAAAAAAAAAAAAAACTTACTAAGTCATGGAGGAATAGAAAGAAATGGTATCCTCGTGAAGGCTGACGTTTGAGGAGAAGGTTCAATATGAGCGTCAACAAAGACAGAGCAGCGACAACACCGTTTGCGGCAACAAAAAACCTGCGGTACGGAAGAGAAAAACAGAGGAAAATGGAAAGAGAAAAAAAAAATGAATTAAATATATTTTGGTGTTTGTAAATGAGGTGGGTGATAGAGTGCAGTTACTTGAGAGTGGGTTGGTAATAAAAGTGTGCCTCGAAGCGAAGAGTGAAGATGAAGACGGTTTGGGTGTTGGTGACCATGACGGCGATAGAAGCTGCGGAGAGAAGAGCAGCGAGGATTCTGAGGATGTCCTGAGCCATGAAGAATGTCGAAGGTTGTTGTGAGAGTGAGGAATGTTTGGGTTCATCCATGTGGGACTTATCGGAAGGGAAAACTTAGAGAGAGGGAATGAAAGGCAGAGAGTGAGGTAATAGTAATAGTAATAGTAATAGTAATAGTAATACTTACAAGTTGCAAGTTTTATAGTATAGAGAGAGACAGAGACAGAGACACACACGTAGGGAAGATATGAAATTGAGCGTGTGGAAATACCGGTGGAGTCAAGTAAGTGTGTATGCAATTATGAGGAGAAAGTGCGGAGAAAAGGAAAATAGAAACAAGAAAGAATGGAGGAAGAGATTGCCCGGAGGTCACGCTAGCTAGAGAGATTTGGGAACACAGATACGCCACTTTTCAAACACAAATCGCTTTACCCTTCCCATAAATCGCTTTACCCCTGTCATCTTCAAAAGTTTAGTTTTTTTTTTTATTTAGTAAAATAAGTTTATTTTATTTTAAAAGATGATGTAATTACAAAATGTTTATATCAAAAATTGTAAATTGTCAAATAAATGACGATAAGAATTAGATGCTTTTATTATAATAATAATAATAATATATGAAAAATTATCTGATAATTATTTTTTTAAGATTGAGTTTATAGTAACAAGAAACATTTTTAAAAAAAATGGACACGTGTTCTAATAGAGGTTAAAAAAAACTCTCGTTCCCAAATAAAAAACATTTTGTGCAAAAATATGTTGATTAAATTAAATAATAAGAATTTTGTGCAAACATCTCCCTTACTGGACAGTAATAGCAAATCAACATCTAAGGCCACAAAAATATCTCAACCTTTTCAAATTCACTCTTTTTCACCTCAAACTCATATCCAAGCTTCTCACTAAGATCCTAAACCAAAACAACTCACATATTCAATACAAAAGACTTAGAAAATAAAACTTACATACTACCTAAACCATAAAAGGTTAACATCCAAGTACCAAAACTCAAGGAAATCACTGGCATTTCAACCTTTCATTAAGAACACTCAATTCCAATTCTCAACATAAAACCTCTTAGGATTCAATCGCTACAACTATAGATTTTAGAAACTCCATCAACCGTAAACTCTTAATAAATTTGACAAATCACTGTCTCACCCGCATCCAAGGTTCCAACAGTTTCTAGTTGATTAGCACGATGCTTCGTCCACTACTACTTGCGCATATGCTTGCAACACGAGCGATGCCACCCAACCACTACTTCTTTTGTAAGCAAGAAGTATCGAAATAAACAAGTGATCATGAGAATGAAGAAAAACAATCATAAATAGTGTCATCTAAGCAATATCATGCCTATCAGGCAAATCCTTGAGAAAACAATACACATAATTAAATAAACAACAAACATAATCAATCATCACACTAGCATATCAATAAGTTTCACAATCAACTTATTACATCATTCATCTACTAAACAAGCATAGTATATTCATAACTCACGGCCGATTAGATCGACCTGCTCTGATACCACTTAATGTGACACCCTCTACCCCAACATACATATACAGTAATTATAAAAAAAAAATCATCATTAAAAACCAAATTTCCAACCACGTAAGGGTAAAGAGCTCACATTCATAAACTTAATCCAAATAACATGCCGGTAAAATTACAAAGAAATAAAATTGAGTTTTCCAAAATAATTTAATAAGAACATCTTAAACTAATCCTATCTATGCCCCGATGTCACATGTTCTATCAGAGCATAGCCAAACATAGAAGCCTAAGTTTCATCTCCAACATCCTCAACCTCACGCTGATAATCACCTGTATAACAGTCAAAGAAAAACAACACGAGAAAAGGAAGTGAGAAACATCTCACTCTGGCTCATAGTGTAGAAATATACGTCGGATAGTCAAACACAAACAAAATAGGTATAAAGTAGATAAATTAATAATAACATCAAATCTCACTCATCCAAGACATAAACCATCACTTTATCATATAACATTAAAAATGCATAAGTATGGACACGGACTACATATTATCATGTATGTGGCACCAATAACATATCACATGGCATATTGCCGCTAGCAATACACGAAGAGTAGTCTAGGAGTACATGTCAGGTCACACCCAGTGCGCACTCTCACTAGAAGAACATACTACTAGAGCCTTGTCGGTCTAGCTAAGCCGCGCAAGATACATCTCATGCACACAATAGGCGAGACTAGGACTTACAAACTCAGTTATCCCCAAGGACTAATCCCCAAAGCTTTTACACTAGGGGGCCTTCTATGGCCGTGTATTCCATATCGTACCCTTAAAAACATTTATGCACATGATGCATGTCAATCAAGACTCCATGCTTTTCTCATATCACATTTTCATGTCTCATTGTCATATCACATTAACACATCTCATTGTCATATCACATTATCACATCTCATTATCATATTACATTATCACATCATATTCACAATTTTCACAAAGCACGTTAATTCATATTAAAACTCATCTATTTTCAAAATTAAACACATATTTACATTCCACAAACATTAAGGAACACAACAAAAAACTCAGAAGGTAAAACAGAAAATATTTAAAATTTGTCTGTTTCTCATAGGGTTCCCACAAGAACCCACAGAGCACTCTAATTCATATCAAAACTTGTTTATTTACGAAATTAAACACATATGCATACATCTAACACAACAAGGAATACAACAGAACAATCAAAAAGCAAAACAGAAAACATTCATATGTTGCTTGTTACAATTACAAATGCATTTTCTTAGGGTTTCCCATAGGAACCCATAGAGATCTTAAAATTATACATTTATATTTAAATATAGGAAAAGCAACAGAAGAAACATATATAATTAGGAAAAATCCCACATACATGAGCATACAACAAACAACAAACATAGGATTGGGAGCCAATCCCACTACTCAACATACATTCCTACACCCAAAGCAAGGTTTCTCACTCCCCCCTTACCTCGATAAGCAAGAGCTGAAACTAAAACCGGATCTTGTTGATATCCTCCTTTGGGTTCCCCTTGGTCTTTAGAGAGTGTAGAAGAAATGAGGTCAGAAGTGAAAAAATGTGTTTTTGGAGTGCCAGAACTTTCTATTTATAGGCATCAAGAGTGGCTAGAACGACCCGTTTCAAATCCAGAACGGCCTGTTCTGGACTCATGCGTCATACGTAAATTTCGCATCCAGAATGGCCTATTCTAAAACTAGAACGGTCCGTTTTGAAATTACATATTACTTACAACAACCATGTTTGGAACGGCCCGTTCCCAAAGTGAAACGGCCTGTTCTAGAATCGCATATTACTCATAAAATCATGTGTTTGAACGACCCGTTCCAGTCTATGGTTTAAAGGCCATTTTAGTAGTTTGGAACGACCCGTTTCAATTTGGGAACGGCCCGTTCTGGGTTACTAAAAAAATCAAAATATTATCAAAAATAATTTTCATAAATATTTATTATTAAAATACTCATAAATATTAAAAAAACTTTAAAACATTCTATAAAACCCATTAAAATATCTATAAGAAAATAACCTCCATAAATATAAAAATAAACAATAATTAACTATTTTACTAGTAGAAAATTCGGGATGTTACACCACATCACATGCATGCAAATCATAATTCGTGTCCATTGCATTTCATCTCATATGTGAATATGAATGTGTATTGTTTATTGAGATAAATGATATGATGTATCGCAAATGAACTATTATGGTTTGATAATGTTAATTACCTGTCTAATATTGATGTTATTGTTATGAATGAAAGATATGTTGAGTGTGTGTTACTATCCATCTTTTGTTTCATGCCATGAGCTAGAGTGAGATTTTTCCCACTCTCTTGTTCCTATATTGTTGTTTTTATGTATGTCTTTATAAGTGAAGCTCAACAAAATGTTGATGATGTTGGTGACGAAATTTAGACCTTGTTCTAAAAGTGTTCTAATAGGGCATGTGACATCAAAATTTAGACTATGATTGTTCATGTTATTTTTAAGATAGAACTTATGTTTAGATTGTATTTTCGTTTTATTATGGAGTTTTGTTTTGAGAGGTTGTTACGTGAGACTCTTTACCTCATGTTTAACACTACATTTTTGTTATTTATGCATGGATTTTATATGTTTATATCGTTTGTTTCAGATTTTCATTTATATGTGTATGCAAGGTAAAAAGTGTCACAAATATATTTAAGACTTTTATGTTATCTATTTTTATGCTTTAGATAGGGGATGAGACCCCATGACTACTGGGTAGGGAGCCAATGGCATGTAAGAGATTCTCAAATCAAACATCATTATCTACTTAGTAGTTAATTGAAACTTAATAGTGCCTAGTTTGACCTAGGACTTTATGATGGAGCTAAGTTGAAGAAGATTGATGAACTTCAACTCCTCCATGCTTGGACCGAATGTTCTTGAGGTTAATCCTTTGGAGAAGCTTGAATCTCCATGAAAGAAGCTTCCATGGAGGAGAAGCCTTGAAGAGGAGGTTCGGCCACTTCCTAAAGCTTGTGAAGGAAGCTTGAGGAACCAAAGCAAAGTTGGAGAACTTTGCTAGAAAACCTAGGAGAGAACTCTCTACGGTTTTATGACTCTTGAGTGGGAGAGAAATTCAGATTTTATTTCTCAAATTTGTCAAAAGTGATTACAAGTGAAGGAAAATCAAATATATAGGGTAAGGTAGCTTGTAGGAGAAGCTAACCTTAACCATGGTTCACTAGGAACCATGGTAGGGTAAACTTAAACTCCCACGGTTTAGCTAGCTTGTAGGAGAAGCTAACCTTGACCATGGTTCACTTAAGAACCATGGTAAGGTTGCCTTAACCTTCCAAGGTTTAGAAGCTTGCAAGGCAAGCTTCAAACCTTGAAGAGTAACAAGTGAATTTCGGCCAAAGAACAAGTAGGAGAGCTAGGCGGCCTTGGTTCATATTTGCTCCTTGAATTAATTCAAAAAACTTTGATTTGGTTTAGTTAGGTTCATCATATGATGATGAGACCTAGCTAAATCAAATCTATGAAAAATTAGGAGCAAAATGAGTCCAATATGCAAAATTTTGCCTAGGCCCAACTCAGGCCCAATTTCTAAGCACACCCTCAAGCATTGCTAAATGTCACCCCCTTTTCCCTACTGAAAAAATACAAAATGAATGTATCAACTAGGGAGGTTAAATGGAGTTAAACTCTCCAAGTAACCTACCTCAAAAACAATATACAAACACTAGGAAAAAGCAAGTAAAGTGCCTCACAAATACAAAGGCAAAATAACCTATACAAGAGACTATTTACAAAATATCTGAAAAAGGTCTTTAAGATCATCCCATTCCTCTTGGTTCTTTGAGTATATCA